TCAGCAGCCTGAGCTCTGCGACACGGCTTTCGCCCGGCTCGAGGCCCTGAGGGACGGGGAGAGCCGGCCTCAGCGCTTGCCTTGACTGCAACAGCAAGGCTGAGACCTTGCACAGTAGGTGCATGCAAGGACCCTGGGGCACAACTGCCCCCGTGAGTACAGTGGCAAGGAGAGGCCAGGAAGCAGGAGCTGACCCCGTCCTCCCAGCCGAGGCTGCACCCCAAAACCCCCCTCCTCCCACATCCCCATTGTTAAAACACTCCATTTAAACCACAGACAAGGAGAGGGAGCACTCACCCTGTGCTGGAAGAGGAGCGCTGGTTGGAAATGCCGTATGGGCCGTGCATGACCACCCCTGGCCCGGGGTGCCTGTCTCTCTGGAGGGAGCAGAGGAGATAATGCAGTGAAACCATTTGCCGCGAGACAAACGGAACAAATCCCCAGGCCCAGCTGCACCGCGTGCCCAGCGTCACTGGCATCGTAGGGGAACGCCATCCCTGGGATGCGCAATGGCACCTCTGGCATCTGCGCCCTTTATTTATGCAGCGCCTTGTACTTGCTCGCCTCTGAAACGCAGCCCTGGGACGAGGCAAGCGCCGAGACTGAAAACGCAACTCCTCTTTTGGGAAGCTCTCTCCTCTAGGGATTTTCCCGAGCTGGTTTCCTACGGATTTGAGGGGGGTCTCATCCATGCTTGAGCTCAACCCTTTGCAGCCATCAGAGAATCCACAAATGCACATTGGCACGTGCACCCATGGGAAATCAGTGAAGCTATTGTGCGTGTTGCTCCAGGAAGGAGCCAGGCTGCCCCGCACATGGGCTGCGGGACCCCACGGGCCTGGGTGCTGTGCCGTTGCGCATCCCTATGGAGGAACCCACGCCCTGGGGCCCTGGAGAGGCAGGTGGAGGTACCGGTCGGCTGGCGCCCTTGGCCCCAGGTGCACTGCACCGTCCCAGGCTGCCGTTGGGGGTGGTGCCGCAGCTGCTGCTGATGATCTGGAGCTGTTTCTCAGCCCGGTCGGCCCGGTCCAGCAGCTCCTCGATGAAGTGCTGGAGGCGCACCTTGGCGTTGGCCTCACGGGCAGCAGTCTCCTTCAGGAACTGGTCGATCTGCATCACCTCCCTGGGCAGAGGGACAAGTGGTGGTGACGGGGCTGGGGCTCTCCTGCCGTCCCCATAACACCCAGGTCCTCCTAACAGATATGAGTGCAGGGTCCCACTTGTCCTCATCTCCCTCCTGACCCCCCAAAGCTCGCTCTGCAGCTATCCCTGGGGCATTTGGCCCATCTCCCCTCCACTCTAGTCTGCAAGAGACCCAAATCCTTCCCCATGCCCCCAGTTTCAGGACCTTGCACCCTTCATCTCCCCCAGAGAGGCAGTCTGTGGGCTCAGGGGTGCTCAGCATGCTTCCAGGCTGGTCCAGCATCAGCATGATTTTGATTCGTGCCAACCTAGATAGTCTCTGGACTGTTTGGGGCAGAGTGGGGCTGGCATTGCTCCTGGCACACAGTATGGATGTAGCCACTTTGTTTTAGGAAAGACGAGACCTTTGGTATATGGACCTCCAAGACCTTTGCCTTGTGACATGTGTCGTGGCCTGAGCCCTTGCTGCCATGGCTGGTGCCTGGTCCGCAAGCTTAATGGTGAGAAAGGGTGACAACAAGGAGGGGTGATGGAGAAGAAAGACAATGGAGAAGAAAAGAAGGACGATAGAGAGGACGGCTGGTGGCACAGAGGAAAGATGGCAAGGAGGATAACGGAGGGAGGGAAGATGGAGAGGCTGGATGAAGACATGGAGGGTTGATGGAGAGGACGGTTGATGGAGAGGATGATTGATGGAGAGGAGGGCTGATGGAGAGGCGGGCTGATGGAGAAGAGGGATGAGGAAGAGGCGGATGATGGAGAGGAGGGAAGGTGGTGCAGAGGTGGGTAACAGGCAGTGGGACCCCCCCACTCTGCCTCATTTGGGAAGGCCATATTCAGCTAGAATGGCCTTAAGGGCAGCCTTTAATCCCTAAATCCCGCTCAGTCCCATCTCTCATGAGGGAAAGACCTGGCACTTGCAGAGCCCTGTGGCGAGAGCTCCTCGTCCTGTGTGCCCTCAGCACAGAGCAGCTGGCTGTGAGGGAAGGAGGCCCTGTCTCCCCCGTTAAGGCATCAGTTCATGGGAGTTGGGGAGCCTGCAGGCATGTCCCCGTGGGGTGGTGAGTGGGGCTATCCCTGCCCAAGGTTCAGTGCAGGATCCAGCTGTGCCCCAGCCTTCACGTGAAGTCTTTTCTGCCCCAAATCGAGGTGGGGCACTGGGGTCACCAGGCTCTGTGGGGGCAGTGGGTGCTCGGGGAGATGCAGGCTGGTCCCTTGTCCCTGCTCCCAGGGCAGCCTCATGGCTTTGGGGGCCAGTGGTGTTTTTGGGGTGTGAAATGGCTTTCTGGGTGTTGTGAGTGGGGGAGCTGATAGAGGCCTGAGGCTCTACAAGACAGGGTAGGAAATGAAGCCAGAAACATCTGCCTGAAGTTGCCCCTTGCAGGTGGGATGTACCCCTGGCTGCCAGCTCGACCCTGCAAGCAAGGCAAAAGCTCCCAAAATAGTGAGTGGTGCAGGGAATGGGGACTCACAAGGTGTGTGGCAGAGGGGTCTCGGGGAAAGCAGTGGCTGGGCTATTATGTGCAAACACACCTTCCCTTAAATGCACATGTGTGCAACCCGATGCACACAACCATCACGGCTGCGCATGCTTGCCCTAAATGCGTGCACGCACGTGCGCACACACATACACACACACACACAGCGGTTGCACGCATACAACTCTTATATGCACACTTTCCATAAGTGCATGTGTCTGTACACCCACCAAGTGCACACGCAGAGCCCATCACACCCACCCGCAACCGCACACTTCCCACAACCGCACACACATGCATGCACAGAGCCATTCTTAAACGCATAAACACAAATACGGACACCACACACCCCCCAACACACGTGTGCAGCCAGTCACACACCCTACATGCACACACACACACACACATGCACACATACGCACACAGCCGATCTCACACTTTTGCTCAGCACAAGCACCTACAGCCACACAAACACATCTTCGGTCTCGTGTGGGGGGGGGCAGGGGGCCCCGGGGGGCCCCGGAGCCAGAGCCAGGTGGAACCACTGAAGCACAAGGGTGAGGGAGCAGCCCTTTCCAATTTGATTAATCTTAATGATTATTAATTACCAGTACTCGCACTTTAGTAATGTTTGAGGCTACCAAACCCAAGGCCTCCTTTGTGCAGATGCTCTGCTGAGCTAAGGAGCATCTCCAAAGAGTGGGGGATGAGGTTTTCATGGGGGCACAATAAGGACCTCCAGCAAAACCTGTGTTTCTGACCCACAGATATGCAGCATAGCCAGAGAGGAGGGAAAACAAGCTGATTCCCTTGGCAGAGAAATGCAAAGCTTGAAGGGAATGGATGGGGAGGCAAGGGGCCCCAAGGGTCTCAGCTCCGTCTTTGGCGACAGCAAAGCGCTTGGAGGCACTTGGAGCCACTAATCCGTGCGTGATGCTGGAGCCAAGCATGCAAATCCAGCCGTGACCTTTCCCGCAGCGTATTCGAAGGAAATGCCAGGGTGATGTGATGCCCTATACCCCCTGGCTCCCAACCCCAGCATTTCTAGGAAAAGCTGGGGAGCTGGGCAATCATTTGGGAAGGCTCACGGCGGAAAGTCTGGGAGATTTGGAAGGCAAATAGGGTGCTGACATCCAGGCGACGGATGTAAAGTGATCCTGATGCTTATCGCCTTCTACGGCTCCTCTCATTCCTATGGACTGGATGGAAAAAATACCCATGGCAAAACCAGCTGAGCCGAAAAGGTGAAACGGCTCCCAACACCAGGACGCAGCTCCAAGGCTGGAAGCTGGACTGAGGGCTATGGAAATAAATGTCGCTGGATCACTCTGTGCTCTCAGGTGTCATTATGGTCCTGGCAGGCGTCGGGAGCACGGTGGATATAATGTATTTAGATTTGGCTAAACCGTGTTCCTATTGTGGCTCATGAAACCTTCCTCAAAAAATTAATTCAAGCCGGCGGGGATCTGAGCACTGTCGCGTGGATGGAGAATTGGCTGGAAGACCGTAAACAAGGAAGGATAATAAATGGCAGCGCAGCAAATTGCGAGCACGGGGTACGGCAGGCAGCAGCGTCTGCTCTTATTTCGCCTCCCCATGAACGATGGGGAAGAAGCAGCAGACGTCGCGTTGGCGAGATCCACGAGTCACTGCTTGAGTGGCCGTCGCGGAGGGAGAAGAGGAAGGGGGCCATCACCTTTGCGGCAGCCGCAGAGGTTTGCCTGACTTGGGACTCTCCGGGGCCGGACACGTGGCCACCACCACAGCAGACAGAGATGGGCTTGGGGAGACAACCCTGTAAAGCATCACCAGCAGACGAGACCTTGGGCTGCGAAGGGATGCGGGGCAGGCAGCATGGGGTGGCGAGCCTGAGGCTCGTCCCCAGCAGCCTCCCAGCCCTTCCAAGCAGGCAGGACTGGAAAATGTCCCTGGTAATTGTGTTTTGTTCTTGGGAGAAGGGTGAATACAGCTTTTCCAATGAAAATGATTTCCAGTGATTTCCCTATGGCCAGGAGAAATCATCTCGTTTCATTAGCCTTTTTCCATGTCTTCCTCTGGAAGATGCCAAGTGATTTAATTTCTAGCAACCGCCATCCAAACAGTTTCAGATTAGAAAAATTTCTGTTACTTTTCAGGTTTTCTGTGAAACTTTTGAAAAGGCCGTGATCGACTTCAGTGCTTGTTTTGTGTTTTTCTGCATTTTTCTGTATCCACTTCTTGCCCAATAAGTCAGTGCGTTCCTCCGCCAGCTCATGGCCCCGTCGTCGCAGAGGGGCTCCCACCATTCCTCTAGCCTGTTGCTCCCTCCCAGACTATCCCTGCCCTTAGCTAGAGGAGTTTGGGGACCTAAGTGAAGGGTTCAAGGGCTGGAGGTTTTCTCCAAGGAAAGGTGAATCCAGGAAGCAGTTTTGGGACATAAATCCAGGTCACCTTAGGCAGCAATGGATTGGTTCATGCATTCCCGTTGACTGAGCAAGCTGCTTTTGACCCATCCGTCACCCTCTGCCAGCCCTGCTGGGGCTGTTTCACACCTCGGTTGCTGTGGTGCTCATGACCTTTTAATTTCCAGGCTGTTTTATTCACGGCCAATTTGACACCGTTCCTCCTGGTGCCAGCGCTACCCTTTAGCTGACATTGTCTGTCCCTGTCCCAAACATCTCTGCGGGCTTCAGTCACATCCCCATGTTGACCTGGCTCCATCAGCCAAGCTCTCTCCCTCTCGCAGGCCCACCGACCCCCTGTTCCCCTCAGCAGGTCCCTGGTCCAAGCCTGCACTCGAAGCAAGCCCAGTTTAGATGAGTATCTCCAAGGATGGAGATGCCACCACCTCTCTGGGCCCCAGTCCAGAGTTTAGCCACCCTGTTGTCCCTTGTTCTGCCACTGCACCTCCAAGATGCCCCCTACCCTGATGTCCCCATGACACCCACGGGATAGTTGACAGTAAGACCAAACCCTGTGCCTCCCTATACATCCCTATACCAAATCTTATTCCCCTTATGCCAGCCTCAAGCTTCATCACAGGGACGATTTCCACCCACCCTGCAGTAAGGAGGGAAAGGGAAAGGACTCACTGTTGCTTGCGGGTCAGCTCCTGCTCCTTCTGCACCAGGTCCTGCTTGAGGGAGGCCAACATCTCCACGCTGACGTCCACCTGGCGGGACAGCTCGGATGCCCTGTCCTCTAGCTCCTGCTTCTCCCGGCTGAGCCGCAGGCTCTCCTGCTTGGCCTTTTCCAACTCGGAGCTCTTCCGGTCCAGCTCCACCTGCAGCCGGCCCACCTGTGAGGCAATCTTCTGCTCCACCTCCTCCGTCAGCTTCTCCAGCCGCTTGTCCACCTCCAGCTTCTCAAAAGCGCGGATCTTCAGGCGAGCCAAGCCTTCCTCATAGGCTGTGTCCATAGTGGCTGGGGGTGTGGGGGCCGGCGCCACGGCTTTGCCGCGGGTGAAGATCTCCGTCAGCGGGATCTCGATCTCGTGGACATAGCGGGGCGAGGGGGAGGAGGATGGGGCCGGCTCCAGCTCCTCGGCGGGAACGAGGTCGCAGGAGAAGCGCTGCTCCTTGCCTTGGAAGGAGGTGCTCTCAAAGTAGTCCCGCCGGGCAGCCGGCGTCAGCAAGGCCGCTTCGGCGGCCAGGGGGAAGACGGCAGCATCGCAGATGCTGTTGGTCTTGGAGAGGACGTAGAGGGTCTCATAGGTGTGGTTGTACTCCAGGTGCGCCCGCAGCGAGGACAGGCTCCGGAAACGCTTGTGTTCCCCGCACCGCGGACAACGGTAGGGCAGGGCCACCGGGGCCCTTCCTCCGCC